CAACTTACTAGTATCTGTCAATATCCAATCGGGTATACCGGAACAAACATTGCCAATTTAGCAGTATCAGATCTTCAGTGTCTTCCACCAACATTTAACAACTCATTTGAATGGGTGTATGTTGGAATAGATGAATCTATAACACTGACTGTTAATGTTAATGGTGTCCCACTTCCACATATTCAATGGATACCTCCTTATGACATTGTAATTGGTACTGAAGGCGATTCTGTTCCCCGTCTTGAACCAGACGGCAGTCTTTTTATCCCATCTGTACAGAAAGACTTAGTTGGGTCATATGTGTGCATTGCGGATAACGGGAAGGGTCAAGCAGTAGCAGTACGATATCTACAAATACGTTCTCAACCACAAGCCACGACCACGGCTGCGACTGCATTACCGCCCACTACCTACATACCTGAGACGACCATTAGTAATGTTAACAACACAACAACGAAGGATGCCCACGAAACAGCACCAGCTAAACAAGATTTACCAACTTATGTAGGATACGTTGTATCATTTATTATGGGGTTGGTGCTTGGATCAGTTATGATAGTGTTTATTCTTTGCTATCAACATCATCGTAGTCGTAAACAAAATACAACAACGGAAAGCACAGAAGTAAACATTTGTATTCCTTCTCTGAATAAGATTAATGATGATCCTCATCTCTACTAAGCCGAACTCACCAATGTAGATTCCATCATTTACCAACAATTAACACCGAATAATAACGCCTTAGGAGATTACGTTAATTCGAACATATGCAGAAGATCATAAATATTTCTAAAATGTGGAGTTGTAATCTTTTAATCCACAGCTCCTGAGATAAAATTGAGGTCAATAAATACCACCGGGGTCAAAATAAATCGACTACAACATAATATTGTTAATATCACAGCGACTGTTAAAGTTGTATTCAGATTATAGCGAGTGGTATATTACATTTTAATTTCTTGAAATTTAAATCATGACAATTTTCACTAAACATCTTACTATACAAAGGACAACTTTAAATTTTACAACCATTGTAACCAGATTCGTAATATTTGTACTTTACTTTATCCGAATGTTAACCATAAATATCTCACTGTCTTTCTCAAAATATTGGAAAAATACGTATTCCTTGATACAGAATCGAGTTGATAAATGTTATATATTCCAATGTTTGTCTGCCTCATGTTTGCAACAAATACCACTCTATTTGCCCATCCTTCTTTAGTCTAAGCTCAATCTCACAAATACATTTTTCATAAATAGTTACCGAGATCTCGTTGTAAGCCCGAGCCATGCCCTCTTTTTTATCTAAAAACTACTAAAATGAAGTTTTCGCGAAAACACTTAAGTTGATTTGTTTTAAATTTAGTATCAATGTTGTATATCTGATGTATGTTTCGTTTTTTTGTATATTTCAATTAAAAATGAACTACTGGCGACCATTTTCTTCCATGATTTTGTATTCCTGGAATCATTCGGTTCAAACTTGTACAATGGCAGGTCATAATATATGCTTTCATAGGATAAGCGATTTCTGCTCATTCCATGTTTTTGTGACTTTTTTGTCATTTTACTTGATATAATTACGTGCGATGACTGTTATCAAAATGTCACATTCTCATTGGTCGATCTGTACCACGTGCATATAATGATAACTGGGCAGTTCTTGAGGCCAATGCACAGAAATACAGTCAATATAATAAATCTGTGTGTATGTCGTATGATTGATCTATAATATTTAATGTTCTTTAAAAGTTTAAACATCAAACCCACCAATATATTTTCAGGCTAGGACAAATTATTCGTTTTTACCTTTAAATGTAGATTGTTTAATAATTGTATTCAGTAGCGACAATTTTGCAATGTTTTAACTGTGAGATGCATTTCTGGTAATCACACATCGTGCCAACGGCTGCAGGGTTTAGCTGATCGCATATTTATTCAGCCATGACTTAGCTTTATTGTAGAGTTTGTAAGATTTCATTATCGAGACACACAATTTGAAAGTCATTTACCATTTAATCTAGAGGTCATTTAATCTAGAAGGTGGATGGTATGAACTCACATGACTAGTTGCACACATATCAAGTTTTGTTCAAAGGTACCTAGTGTTTTTCACTGCCTTGCAGACATTGAGATTCAATCTACCTGTGTATTATTATAGAAAATTATGGTAATGTTTGAAGGAATGTATAATTTCCATCGATAGATTTGTATACGCTAACTTTAGTAACGGAAGTATCATTGACTTGATATTTTAGGATCCAGTCTTGATTTACTTCAATTTTTCTTGATTTATTTTTGATTACCTCGAGTTTCAGGAAATCGGACTATTTAAAACTAACACGTAACTTTACTTACTAATATCAAGTGAAACTGGCAATAAAGCTATTATATTATTAAACCATTGTTTCATCCTCCTCTGTTTCATAATCCAAATATGACTGCCGGGGAGTAGCTACACAACATGAGTCAACTTTCTGGTTAGAATATAATCAGCAAAATTAAATTACATTTGATTAAAACTGGATAGACAAGTTCATTCTATTGATACGAGTAAAACTAAAAATTGTAAAGTTAACAGTTTGTATTCCACTATGAAAACAGCGTCAGTCTTCCCCAAATACTGACGTAAAATGCGCTAAGGACATTAATAATGACTTACTTATTTATTGTTGGATCATGAATATTCATGAAATTTAAATATTTAGTTATCGCTAAACTATTGCAAAGGCTGTCCACGACACATGTATACATGTTCGAAACGCTTTTTTTTAATG